CAGTTGCGACGACGACGCTTCCACGGTCGTTACGACGGCTTCCCGTCGAAAAATAGCCCGCGAAAATAAAAGGCATCCTCGGAGAATTTCCTCGAAGAATGCGCTAACTCATTGCGTTGGCTTTTTACAATAGAAAAACGACAAGTCTGGGTTATTATCTTGTGTATATTGGACTCTGGGAGAAACGTTAATCCCCTTTTTGGTACGATACATCATCAAAACGGACTTTTGAAACCCTTATTTTAAAAATGACTCGTAATGCCGTATCTACTTCTGTCCCTATCTATGTCCCATATTGTGTCTCGACAGCTGATATAATATGTATTTAAGTGAAAAACCCCTAGGACACGCTTTCAGGGTATCTGGATAAATGGAACTGCTCAGAGGAAATGTCGGACAAAGTAGAACGGTATCATATTTCGGAAATGTTGTGTTAAACACGTTTAGATTGTTTTTTTCGTTTGGTCTGTTATCACATTTTCAGCTCATATGATCGAATTTTCGAAAAATGAATAAAGATATATTTGCATATGTTTACATATTTGTGTACATTTCACTTTTGAGATCTTAGCATTTCTCATAATATTTACAATGACGATAATTAGTTAAAAAGAGAAAAAAAGAGAGGAAATATCTTTTTTCTTAATTATAAATAAAATGTAATTTTTAGGCACTCGAAAAAATAGATTTCTGTTCTCTCCATATTCAGAAAAATTCTTTTAATATGACGTTTATTCAAACAGTCTAACTATTACCAGTTCGTAAACATTGTAATGCGTAAAAACACATTTTGTAGACCGAATATGTATATAGGGTCCTTTTGCTGCGTCAAAGATTGCGTGTTTTATATCGTTCGTACGGTGCGCATTCGTGATACGGAGTATAAAGCGGCATTTGTCCCGCGGGAACATATTGCTAGTCATCGATTCGACGTGGGCCGACGGATGGCGAATTTACAACTTCCTCCCACAATGCGATTCCAACATCGACAACGAGCGTGTGATCTATGATTTAGCGACTAGCGGCAAGAAGGAGGCGTAAGCTCTCCGCGACTTGATAAAACACGATATTAAAATGCACAGTTTGCGTCTGCTCGTGTGACGTGTTCAATAATGCAACTACGCCGACGCAATACACTCAATGTGGCAAATAAATTTTGATAAAATTTAAAATCCGCTATATATTTGTTTATTTTTTGTTGTATAAAATAATAATTTAAGCGATTAAAAAAAAATAATAATTTAAAAAATAAATTAGACGATCTTAAGACTTATGTTATAAACAATTTAAAGAAATGCATCAAACTAGAATATTTTGATAAATGTAAATACTTATATTAGAAAAATAAGAATTTTATTTTAAAATCTTTGTGCTTTATTTCACTTTTGAACAAGTTAGTTCAGAGAGTCACACAAAAATACGCAAACGGGACGAGGAGCTGCAGAATGCACGTGTCTCGGATATATATCTGACGATAAATCGTGTGAGAATGAAATCTGCGACATTCAAATGTTGCGTTTTCTATCAGCAGTCCTCTACGAAAAAGTTTCTAATCGCCATCGTAAATTGCGCGTCACCGTGGAAAACACTTGCGGAGAAAAGGATACATTTCTGTTTGCACGAGAGAGACTATGTTAGAATTAAGTATCGATGGATTTTTGCAACACGAGTACGAATGAACACATGCTTGCAAAAATAAATAGAAATGAATCTTATCGACATAAAATCAAACATTTAGCATCATGAATATATGCGAGCTTTTGTGCGAATCTCTAATTCGGGATATCTCGTGTAACATTTATTTATAGACATTTTCATACATTATATCTTTTGTTAAAAAATCGAGAACAACTTTTTCAATTCTGTATCTCCTTCGTATTTTCGACTAAATTAAATAATTCATTAAAGGTATTTTTAAAAATCCACAATATTATCTTTGAAGTTCTCAAATCTTATTTATATATTAGCTCTCCTCTAAGTCAGTTTATATGTATATAAAGGATAAAAAACTAAAGATTTTTTTCTATAAAAATTGTAGGATATTATAATAAACTGCATTTTCGCTTTGGAAAACGTTACTCCATGTGAGCTTTCCAACCTCCGATTGTATCGATAAATAAATCACGGCCGTGGCACGGAGGGGGTAATAAATCCGATAGAACTTTTTCTAATTATACGGCCTGCCCCGCGTACGGCATTGAAGGCGCCTGTTCAGCGCCGTCCGTTAACAGCCGTTCGAATAGCGTATAAAACACGTCACCGCGACGTTTTCATTGCGGACGAAGGAGGGAACGGTGAGTGCCGAGAGTATGTATACCGAAGGGATGCAAGAGAGAGGAAAGAGAGTCACCCTCTATACAGTAGAGTCTTTAGCCGAACGTATACGATCGTTACGTTAGCCGAGCGTGTTGACGGGTCTCGGGCCCTTTCCTCTCTCTCTCTCTCTCTCTTCGCCTTCTTAGTTTCGATTTAAACAAACCCGAGACACACGCGTGACTGGCTTGGCCATATTTTTAGTACTGCGAGATCGTTTGGATCTTCTACTTGTCGACGACGGCAAGCGCATGTTCCCGGAGATGCAATGAGTTAAAGAAATCCGCTGTAACATATGTATACGTGATCTGCCTTAAAAATTTTATATTCTTTGCGCGTGAAGCGATTAATTTAAGGAGATGAGTTTATCGTAATTAAAATTTTTTTGTTTTATTTATTTTATATAAAGTAAATAATTTTATTTTGTGTATATTGAGATGTATGTGACAAAATAATACAAAGAAAATGGTTTACTTGAAATTCCAAGTTGAAAAGTTTGTTTCAAATCGCGCGCACGTTTTATTAGTTTTTCCTTTTTAGATAAAATATGTTGTAACGTTTTATTATTAAATATTTTTAGATGAACTTTCTTCTTTCTTCTTCTCTATCTTTCAAGCTATGAAGAAGCACTCGCTGGGGTCGACGAAAAATATGTTATTTTCCTCTAGCAATAAAAATCGCTTTCGAAAGAGCATTACTATCGTTAACATGTGGATTTAGCATATGTAGGTCGTTTTTAAACTAAAAAAAAAAAAAGCGGTAACTCTCCCTCTCTGTAGAAAAACCCCTTTTATCGTCTCGTTAGTACGTCGTCGCTCGAGATGAGAAACGATTATTCGGTGCTTGGGGAGCTCGGAGCGCATGTCGAATCGATCGGCACGGTCGATCCGAGATCGGAATGACTCGTGAGCTATGAACAACTATTGATGCGCTATCGCGTAAGCGTTCTCGTATTATTCCCCTCTTCTCCTAATGACTGTTTTTCCCTCACGACAGTATGACAGAGCATATGATTAATAACGCGAGCTGAATAAGGCAAACGAGATTTTTTTTCGTGCAATCAGCTGCGCGATAAATCGATATGCAGCAGTGGAGTAACCACAGATTTTCAGCTCCTAAGTCAGATATTGAAAACGAGCTATGCTTCTGTTGTTGCGAATTAAATATTAAGAACAATATTGATTTGATATATATAAAAAAAATATATTGTATTATATTTACTTTTTTTTCATGGTTATTATCCTTTTCTAACATGTATACAATTTTAATCTTTAATTCAGTTTAATGGACGATGTTAATAGTGTCGCCACTGATATGCAACGAATGAGAAGCCAAGGTAAAATGACGTTAACGAATATTCGTTCCGTTCAGCCGACATTGTAAGCCTTTGTTCCGAGTGGAATTTGATTCTCTCACGGATATATATGTAAGTGCATCCGTGATGCGAGCGAGCAAGAAAAAAAAAACAGTTTCTCACAGTCACGAGCAGCACATATGCCTGTCAGCCACGCGGCTTGCAATATCGCAACAAGTTCCATTAACGGTTACCAACTCATTAGCCGTCGTGATAAAAACTAAAAAGAAATCGCGCGAGTATATGATGGTCTTATGTTTAAGGAAACAATGTGATGCAAAAATGAACTCTTTAGAATTTGTTAAGAAATTTCGATATAAAGCTATCTGCGTACAACGTCTACATTTGTTCATAAAAATATCAAATGCATGTATATATCTGCATTTGAATTAAAAATCAATCACATTAATTATATTTAACATAATGTAATTGAATGTAATCAAAATGCATCAATCAAATGTGGAATATATAAAAGAAAAGTTTTAATACGTGAACAGACTTTATAATAATTTTTTTTATTATTTAATTATAAAAGATATATATATGTCTCTTTTATATGTATTATTTAATTAAAATATATGTCTTTTGTGGTTTGAAAAGAATGCGAAGATAAAGATGGCAACGAGATTATCATGGTTGCGGCGTCTCGTTCCCAACATTACAGCCCATTGTTGGTGCAGCCGCCTTATTTCCAAGTGACCCAGAACCGCGCGGTGTGAGAAAAGGAACTCCGTTGGGCTACGAAAGATTTTTTTCTTTTTTGTTCAGCCGAGAGAGCGCATATCTTGCGATGCGTTTCGCGACGTGACATGCTCTCTCTTTCGTTGACGTGACAGCCGTGACTCGCTTAGCATAAAACAACGTTGCTTGATCGTACTTGTTAGCATATGAAGCGCGGTAGCCTCGCTCGTATATATACAACTCGTGTAAAACGCGCTCGCAGCGTTTCCTACCATTGACATCACAATAATGATATTAATTATGCCTACGAAGTAAACGCGCGGGGAGATACATATGCCGGCGAAACGACCGATTCTGTGGCCGATGCTTTACTTCCCCCTCGGCACATCGAATATACTTGTCGCCGTTGCAGTCTGATAAATTGGCTATTCGCCAATCGCGAAGCTTCCGATTCTGCACGCGCGCCATTTCTCTAATGGAACTGCCAGTTGTCAGCTGGTAAAGCGCGAAATGTTTATTGTTAGAATAATACACAGAATACCCGGAAGTATAAGATGTTACTGGCATTACCGGATCGTGCTTCCGGGTCTATTCCGAGATCCGGAAGAATTGGAAGAAATATATCTTTTCAAGCTTTCGACATTTAAAAATATTGAACAATTTGAAATAATTTATATTGAAAAATATGTGACAAATATATTATCGCCTTGTTTTATCATTTAACGCAAATTTAATTTATATAATTATTATTCGCAGCAATTCCGTTTGTATATAGTACATGTTGTACGAGCCATTTCCAAGCGCAAGGCATGTTAATAACAAAATTTTCTCTCTTCTGTTACTTCTCGTCGCCGACCATGACATTCTTGAACTGATCGTGTTACAAAAAATTCACCTTTGCCATGGAGACCTTCGCGTAACGTTTTTGTGTTCCCGTCCTTCTCGCTAATATCATCGAAGCGTGAAAATCGCAACGTAACGTGGAAATGTTTCCTTTCAACCAGAAAGCCGTCGGTTGCGCGTCGCGGCGCCGATAACTCGCAGAATGGATTCTTAACGAAGGCACAATATCGGCCAATTATGTACCACAAGATGCAAATTTGCATCGCTAATGGTGCACACAAAGAACGTTGAATTTCTTGCGACGGTCGAGCTACCGGCAACTTCCTCGGTATCTTCTTCTTGTACTTTTAACGATGTGCGCGCGTTTGCAGCAACGGAACTCGCTATTTCTGTGAAAGGTATATTATTATTATTATTAATGATGAATCGTATGTGTAAAAAATATAGTAGTTACAACTAATTATTAAGAATCGTTTTAGATTGTACACATTTATATTTTGTATATAATTATTGTTATTCTATAACTTATCATTATTATTTTACCGAATCACTATTATTATCATCATTGATATTATCATTAAAAAAGTTTATTTAAAATATCATGTGCATATAAAAAATGTACGCAAATTGATTTAACAAGAACTTAATAATTTTACGTTATCTTACGTTTAAAGCTAAACATTTTTAATAAATAATAATCTAGAATCTAGAACAAAATTTTCGCGCACTGTGAACAGAAATTAATCTCAAATTTTATTAGTCTATAACTCTTTCTTTTTTTTTGCTCTTTAATGCGCTAGAGCACGATGTAATAAAGTAAATTGTTCTTTTATAATAACCTCGCACTTTCACGAGGCTTGATCGGGCCAATTGCCGGCGTGAAAATTATGAATTTCCCGTAGCAATATAATTACGATATATATATGTGTAGCGCGCGTTAGGAACAGGGTCTTCATCTCGATGCTTATTCGATTGTGCACGTGTAGGTATTAAAGTATAGCGAGCAAAGGCGTCGCCAATAGTACACATTGATAGCCCATTGATAAGCAGGTTTACTCAGATGTGGTAGCTACGTGGTATCGTCGCGACGCACAGCTTGTACTGCCTTGCAATTGGCGGCACCTGCAAAAATAAATATGATAAATAACGTGATAAATGGTTTTTATCAAGTGACTTCCTGACTGCGTGGACACGAGTCGCCGATAAAGCTTTTCTACCGCGCGTTTCACATAGTATGCTGCGCACAAAAGTTATTAAGGTGTCGTCAAACTAAAACATTAGTTTATCAGAGATCTTAATTATTTAATTTATTAATAATTTTATTGCTACCTTTGTTGCTAATTTAGATAATCAATTTTTTTTAACTAAACTACATACATATATTATATTTTGTCAAATGTCAAAATAGGTCGCAAAAATTTATATATTATTCTAATTTGTTTAAATATATATATTAAGATAAAATTTGTTTAAATATATAGATTAATTTTCTATTACAGAATGTAAATTAGTAAAAGTTAGAAATAGTCTTCAAATATTTTTAAATAAAGGTTTTCATATTTAAATTCTTTGAATTTCTAACGTGCGTTTCAATTCTCGATGTGCATTTCGATGAGATTTATTGATAAGTCGATCGAAAAACATTTCGATACTTTCTATGTTTGTTCGCGCAACGATCGATAGGTCACGCGTTCCAAATAGATGAAGCAAACGTGATCTATGCACTCGCGATGCTTCCGGCGTATTATTTAACCGCCACGATAGCACCAGAGTTGCCGCATAGTTGCCGCCCAGCCTCGACGGTGCAATTAATTACTCACAATATAAAATAATTCTTAACGTAACGAGGAAGTACTAAAAGTAACTAGCTGGAAGGTAACGGCCAATTACGAGTCATACAGCTTCAAGGTTCCGACGCAGCAGTTATCGCGTCACGGCAGTGCGTAACGCAATGCGCGCGCCCGCGATCTACCCTATATAATATAAATAAATTTTATACGTTTCGATGATAGCGTTTTACTATCGCGTTTCTTCTACCACGCACATTTACGGTTCGTCGACCCCTACGGATATATATAGATGAAGAATATTTTAAATGTTTAGAGAATAACGAGGAAGTAATAAAGATGATCGATCTTAACGAATGCGATCAATATGTCGTTGCAGCCATCGCAATGATGACAATTAATCGTCGTAATGAATGCAATTGATCTAGGTTCATTAATATATCTTGCAAATGTATTAATTTATTTAAAAAAAAACGAACCGTCAACATATATAGATTTGTTATTAACAGATGCGTCGGATCGGTATATCGCCTACCATTCTGCGATTATGATTCTAGGATATAATTTCATGCTGAGATATGCGCAACTTGCCCACGTGCTTTTTGTCATTTCGCGATTTTTGCGTCTCACTCATTAACCGAATATTGCTTACGTCAGTTAATGAGCCGCAGTTATCGAATATATGTCAATCATCGTGATTGTCGGACAAGGTCGGCAACAATCTTGATTTCTATTATTGAATTCAGATGTTATATAAGTTTGATATGATAAAAGCATTCCGGGATTGATTCAGTTTTTCAAGAGTCTCTCTTGCAATAATTATTCAATAAATAATTTTAAGAGGAAGATGATAATTTTTGAGCGATCTTTAATGATCTTGCTATATAGAATTGCTCTCACAGCCGGTGATTAAATGGCAATGTGTTAATGATTGAGATGCAGACAAATGTTGTTGGCATGTGTAGCATGGGAAAATATTGCTACTAACATCTCTCTCTCTCTCTCCCTCTCTCTCTCTCCCTCTCTTTCTTTCTTTCTTTCTCTCTCTCATACACACACACACACACACATATTGTGCGTGTGAACGACGTACGATATTAAATGGAGAAATCAGCCAGCGACTCAATCCACGTGTGTCAATCGGATGTGAATTATGGCGGACAGTCGGCAAAATAGGGACAATCCTGAAGTCTTGGCATAACGTACGATTTCCTGATTTTCGTGGCAATTTACCGCAATTTGTCGCCCACGCACGCGCCAAATGCAAAGCGCACGTAGGCCGCATAATGCAGGCTGTTTTATAACGCGTATCGCGCCCGGTTCTATAGTTCGTTTAACCCACAAATCAGACTCCAGATTCGCGCTTCACTCTTGGGCGATGATCGGAGCGGGCTCGATATAGGATTGCGGCTTCGCTTTCCCGCTAATGAGTCGCTCGTATATAAGACAAATCACGAGGCGGCCGCGTTACTTCGGAAGCCGATTCTAATAGTCATCTCGAGCAAAAAGATTACTATGAATATTCGATTCTCGACATGTATTATATGAGAATGATTCTGGTTATTTTATTGCGCAAATTTATTTACGCAAACTTTTGTAGAATAAAATACTAACCGTATAAGAAGATAGAATAATTGATAAAATTATTTTTATCTTTTATCTTACATTAATTAAAAAAGAAATATATACACACAGTTCCTCACTCTCTCTCTCTCTCTTTCTCTCATAAAAATGGTTATTATTATAAAAATGATTTTATCTATCATTTTTTTTCTATTAAAGTTTGCGTAAGTAAACTATATATATATATAATTTCACTGATTTTTCACTGATTAATAAAATTGATCTATCGATTAATCTGACCATCCACGGCTTTCCAGAGACGGTAAGTAGACCTTCTATGGAAGCTTGAATGCGGTATGCGAGGAGAGAAATTCTCTGGCAAAACACGACTCGCATTCCCTATTATCCGAATCACCTTGAACTTGATTCGGTCGTCGGCATAAGCCGACAACATTGTAAAGATGACGGACGAATCTGGAAAACCGATTTATCGATCGATTCAAGAAAAATCGTCGCCGGTTATAAAAAGTTGGCTTAAACTAAATGGAACTGTGAATGAATTGTCAATTGCAGTTGACGTTAAAACAATTGACATTATATCGAAAATCAGTGTCGTTGTGATAATGATGGAAATATTCATAAAATCAGTTTATCAGTCAATCCGTTAAATCTGACAATCCGTTAAATCTTGCAACCGCCTTGAACTGTGAAAGATCCATTGCTGATTATAAAGCCAGATTGTGTCATTTAACTCATGATTGCCTACCGCAATAATGTTAAATATTTTTTTTTAATTACGAAATGAATTTTACACTTTTTATCTCAATATTCTATAATAGCATATTCTAATATCATATATATTATATATTATATTTTCTTTCAACTTTACTGGCTATTTATAAAAATATATTATTTTGCTGTATAACAGAGAGATTATATTCAATATAATATCTCACCTTCTTTTTAATAATTTAATTTTATATTTTGAGATATACCTATAAATAATAAATTCGTACGACATATTTCATTTCTTCGAAAACATTAAAATGAATCTCTGAGTTTGTAAAATTTGTAAATATCACTACGTTACTACAGGATATGACGCGGAAACTGTATAAGTATGATCACTCGTTATCATGACGGAGATCGTTAGGACGAAACGACTAAATTGGCCGGCTACCGTTTGGAGATTTCCTCAATCATTTCATCAACCGTCATCATCGGGCTTGATTGTACTCTCATGGGTCAGTCCCATGCGATCTCATTGTGCTACAGCAAAAGGACGAAATTATGTCGTGCAATTCTCAATGTAGTGTTCTGACGATTTCTCTCCAGAAAGAAACCAAATAACATGTTACAAGATATTACAGGAATGCATCTTCAAAACACCGAATAAATGTATTCCAAAGTCCACTTTAAATGATTTATAATATGCGGCAAAATACAAAACTGAAATTTATATATAATTTTACATATTATATATGTATTTTGATATATATGTTTGGTATATGTTATTTTTTCTAATATTTTTATAATGTGATACACAAATTTATACATAGAATCTTGTCCTAAATTATAGACCATCAAAAATAGATTTAATCAATGATTTATATTAAATTAGTGCTTGCTTGCCTTGACGATAGTTGTATCCCTTTTTCTCTTAACTTACTTACTGACTAAATGTTCTGTTATTTTATACAGATATATACATAAATTTAATTAAAGAGTTTCTTTTCCGCAAAATGAGAAATAGATTTTCTTACGCATTCATTCACTTTTCCATCTACCTCCGGACATCGCTATTTATTTTGTTTTACATATTTAAAAAAAAAACGATATATGTACAACGATACGTAAAGTATATGCCAGATTTGTTTTATGAAACTTTTGTAAATTCCGGACGGGCGATTTCGCGATCGTCGCCGAACGTTCGACTTTCGTGAAATGATTTCGTGTTCGAGGCAAGCAGCTCTCGCCCATTAATCTAATCGATAAAATCGCTGGTAATCGATAGCCGCGTAAGCCGCTTGCAGTCACGCTGCAATCGCAAACGCTAGTACACACAAGCGTGTCTTTAAGGATAAGTAACTGTTACTTATGATATCGCTTACAACCAGTGTGGCGTAGAGGATGTGGCTCTTCATTGCGTGTTTTCCATATGCAGAGCGATAAGAGATATAAGATTACGCGACCATCTCAAGGTTATTAATATATATTACATAAAGTTGCTGACATACATCAACTTTTTAATGGTGCTCTAATTTTACTAAACGATACTGAGTATTAATATCACGAAATTTAACAGAAACATATTTAACAATATCTTGTCTTTTCGCTATCTATCGTCAGAGTAAATCATTTATAAACGTATACGCGCAGGGAATTTCGATAATTCCGAAATAGAGCGAATCGTTTATGGGATTTTTTCAGGATGATCATGTCATTCACGCGAGACTATACATTAAGTTTTCTCTTCTCACCGCGCACTTGATCGATTATTACTTCTACGAAATACAATTCGACTTGATAAAGCTTCGTGATGTTTCGTAAGGGAAAACCGTTTCACCTTTGACAGTTTGCGAAATCGCAATATGATTGTAAAAACGAGGCGCAGGATCGATTATTAAGAATTTATTGAAAACTGTAAAGATTGAATTTTTCGCGATTATCACGTTTGAGGAAAATTTCCAATATTTTTTGTTTAATCTAATAAGAGAGAGAGAGAAGAAAAAAAAAGATTTAGAAGAAATTATATTTTAATAAATTAATATAAAACTTTATTTGCGCGTAAATTAATCATTCTCAACGATCGATATATGTGTAAGATTAGAATTTAATGTCTGACTATTACCGTTAAATGCACATGTTTGTTGTCTTTTGATCCGAAGGTATTAAAGAATTGACTCGATCATCACGGAAGCCGATAAGAAATCGTATGCAAGATTTTCCTGGAAAAACGCGCGATGTTTAATTCTGTTACATCACGTCCGCGGCGGATGAGAGTTCGCGTGGTCTTTCGATGATTACGTTGTAGCGATGATTAACGAGTGGCTTTCGGTCCGCGTGTATCTCATTAATCGTCCGACATGCACGGAAGTTAAGAACTTACCGGTCATTATCAGAGGACATAGTAACCAAGTGGCTAATGCAGAATCCTTGGGATGATTAATGTCGCGGTCGTGCTATTACTCGCCACGATGATGGAGATGCACTTTTACATGTGCAATGTGGACCTCCGCGCGCGATGGTACACTTTCATGTTATCAGGCTACATTAGCCACTTTGTTGCTTTATCCCGCGCATCATTATTTATAAAGATAGAGGAGGGAATTGAAAATAATACAAGTGCTCCTGAAAATACTTTTTACTAAAAGTAAACTTTTGTGAATAACATGAAGAAATATAAACCACAGTTGCGCATAATATAAAATTAAAAATAATAGACGTTCGAGAACTTTTAGCGAGATATTAAAATAAAAGATTTATATTTTTTTCTATCAGTAATGTAATATTTAAACAACTTTCAAAATAAAATGCTGTCTTTACACGAATCAAAAAACAAAAATTATAAGAAAAATCAATCTGTATAAATAACCACTTGGTAAAACCGCGAATAATAATATGGTGAAATGATCTTGAAATCGTCATCAAAGAACAAACGTTTTATTTGTCGAGCGAAGCAATGGCGGCATTACTTTTGCTCGATCCTGGCGACGGAAGTCGAAGAAGCGGCAGCAAGTTTTTGCGAAATTGTTCGACGCATAACGAGTGCAAAGTATTCTTCGAAGCTCGACTGAAGCAATCGTTGAATGATTCCGCTCGTGAACGTGAGCGTCAAAGAGCTGTTTTGTTATCCGCCGCGGGGATACGCACGGCAATAAATTTTCTTCGGCGCGAAAATTCCGCGGCTCGCGAGCCTGGAAGCTTGACAGGCGACTCACGTGGGCACACGTACACACGCGATCCCATCAGAAGTCCATTAAGTCCATTCGCCATGTGGGCACGCGTACATGCACCCACGCGCGAGCGAGGTTTGCCTTAGCGAGACGCTTAGGGGCACGCGATCTTCACCGGCTTTACTATACATATAATAAGAATAAATTAGAAAATAAAGATACAAGTTTTCTGTTTTAAACGAGATTGCAAATTCTCTCTGAGAGCTAATTTACCTTAGAGAGGTAACTTGAAATTTAGAAACAAAAAGTCTTATATAATATTTATTTAAGTCTTATATAATATTCATTTAAGTTTTATATAATATTTATTTCACAATTCGCATCTTTCTTCGAATTGCTAGCTTTGGATAAATGAATGTTTTCTTAATCTTGGTTATTGCTTAGTGAAAAACTCGAGCTGTTAATTAAATGATAGAAAAAGTTTATTATAGATTATTTAGTTTTTTTTGTTGATATTATTAGATGGCCACATTTATTACAATTTATTATGTTTTACATTCTAATCTTTATTCTACTTTTTCTTTTTATTATTATTTGGCATTACCCTAATTTATACATTCTCAACATTGTCTAAATTATCAGTGTGCTAATTAATCAATCTTTGCGATTGACAAAATAAGCATACCAAAATGACAAGTATCAAGCAAGTTCCTCGCGATATATTTATTTAAAATAGGAATTGATGTGCGACAGGGAATGAGAATTATAAATTATTATTTTATTGTAATACACACATATACACAGATAATAATACATTTTTTAAATATACTTCTATTCAAGTACATTTGTCTTACGCTTTGAGTTTCTTGCCGATTTACATATAAAAACACACAGTAATATATGAATCGCAAGATCGATTAAAATAACGAAAAGTCATGATATATTAATTGTTTATTAATAATTAATTTGAATTTCAAAGAAATAAACACAGAAAATTTTATATATTTTATATTTATAGTATAAAATATTTCAATATTTATTTTCAAATATTTTGTGATAGTTATAACTATGGCACACTGTATTGTGTTGATATTCGGCGGTGTATATGTAATAGAGAAGGGAGAGCGTTGTTGTTTACATTCCATAGCAAGGCTACGCTCTGGAATGTAAACAACAACGCTCATTCACGCGGCGATGCTCGAGCGAGCAGGCAGTATCATGAATTGATTCGTGTTGTCGGAATAATTTTTCGAGAAACGCGATTATTTTCCTTATTATAATTTTTATGTTTATCGACTCGTGCGATTGATCAACTATTGCGATGAACGACACGTAAGAACATCGCGGCGATAGCAATTTGATTCAAGTAACGAAACAGCAAAATACTACGTCGACTGTTTATTAATAATACGTATATTTCACGGGATGCATGTGTTGCAAATATACTATGTTTGCGATATTGATTTTCGATAATATATTTTCTAGCAATTTATTGTGTTCTAACCAGGCAACTAACTTGCGTAATATCGCGCGATATCAATGTATAAAATTGATGTCATTTTCATGTTTTCCGGACATTAGTAAAACGTCGCGAGTATAATTATATATATAAATTAGAGTTTGCTATCGCAATACGTTTATAATCTATACAGTATAATTGTTATTAATTCCGTATATATATTTTAAGATTTATCAACCGCGTAGCACGCATATTTGTATATCGTTATCAGAGCTCGTATCTCGTAAGTTGTACTCGATCGAAATTTATCGTGCGAAACGTCGGCAGACCTAATTATATTTCCTATATTGTAGTCCGCGAATATCAATCTTTAACTTTAATTTGTTTATTTATCCATTAATATTGTAATGCGGAATAATAAAACTTTAAGCGTGTAAACGCACGCTATTCATTAACAACAGAAATAGTATTATCGGGACGAATGAATAATTTTGCTGCATAATTTTCGAATGCCAAAAGCGGATTGCATTTGTTTTCCCATCGCGATATGATAAAATACGCGACATGGTATGCGATTAACGTTAAGAATGCCGTGCGATCGTTGTATTTTGTTGATTAGTGCGCGCGCGTAATTAACAGTGTTTTCGCGAGTGAGTTCTACGAAGAAGCAATGAAGGATGAATAAGAAAGGAAGAAAAGGTCTGGAGATGCGTCGGACAACTGCGGAAGAGCCGTAGGGTGAGTAATTTGTAGTTTATTTAATTTAATATTTACTTATAAATTAATTGCTAGTTTATCGCCGACATATAATATTTTTATTTAGATGTGAAATATTTTAATAATGTGTTCAAAATTTGATATAATAATAATATTGTAATATTATTATTAATAATATAATAATAATAATTAATTCGATTATTTATATATAAAAAAGATTACATTTTTGAAAAATATTATGAAAGTTTACATAAATAATTTTTTTCTTATGTGTAAATTGTGCAATCTTTTTTAAATTAAATTTTGGTTTAAATAACAAATGTAAAAAATTCAATTGCATGCAATAATTATTTTTTAAAATATTGATTATTTTATATATTGTATGTTATGTTTGGATATATTTATGTTTTTACGGATCACAAAGTTAATCAGCATTTGTTGCTGTTGCGTATGATATCGGTGAGTTTAAATTCTGTTTCATTTATTTTAAAAAATCTGGAGATGGATTTTATGAGAATTGTATCATATTGGCTCGCGGGCTTAATACGCTGGCTTCGCGATTCTAATCGCGGACAGTGAGTTATTGACGTATGATCATAACTTATTATGAGCAAGGCACGAATGAAAGACCGGATTGCCAAAAGGCTCGTTATTACTATTTTCTAAGACCAAAGCTGTTTGCCAGATGCGTGTGACTCGATTGGAATGCGGACAAATTAATGGCGACAAATTCCTCGTTTACAATATTCATACACTTGCCCTAATTTCGAACAAACTAGATAATCGTCAGCTTGAGAAATTCTCGGAATGCTCGTCGCATTGCTCTATCTCGCTATTTGTCAAATTAACCCGATTTTTTTCAAGCGTCACTCGGCATCGTTCACTCTCTCTCGCGTGCGTCGCGTAAGTTAAGGAAATTAAAACCGTCGCGCGACTAAACGTGTCATGTTTGAATAACGAAAAATAGGTCATAGTGATTCTATATGTAGATATTACAAGAGTTTTCGAATCTCTCGGGGCTTGGTGTAATGTTATGTTTTAGTTATTACTCTCAATGAGCGACATTCAGTCGCCTTCGGACAGGTTCCGTACAAGTCATAAAGAGTTCGCTGGCCTCTCGGCTTGAGTGTCGCTCAAGCGGTGCATCAGGATGAATCACCCAGGGTCGGACGAAGATACTTCGAAGCCTTTGACAGGACACTCATTTCTCACGTTTATGCTGAGATCGATGAAGCGCATTAAAGTATTGTAAGAAACAACGAAAAATTTTGATTTCTTCCTCAAAAATAGTGAATTAATATCACCAATGATTTTTTTTTTATAATTGCGTATGAAAGAATCATTGTAAATATAAAAATTTAATATGTGTCAATCAGTTTAGTATACGCAAAACTACTTACATTATGAAAATCGTGCTAGTATAAACGCGACTGGCGAGACAGAATAAAAGCAACCCATACGCTATGTTGCATACTATAATAATATCATAATGCTACATAGTAAAATAATCAGGAGAATAATAATGATACTGCACGTGTACATTAATCCGACCCTGGAATCACCTGGGCGAAGGCTGTTTTATTATGCAAATACGCGGTGGTTTCGCGCGAGCCACGCTACGAGGATACTAAATGCACTCGATGGATGCACACGCGTAGACGAAGCAGATGCGTACATATCGGCAACGAGTCGATCGAGAGATTCGAAGAGCTGTATCTTGCGCTGTAATGCAATTTCCCATAAACTGCAAATTATTCCAATGCGTATAAAATAATTATGTTTTAAAAAATTAATTGCAGAAGAATTTCTACTCAAGTTATTAATTTACGTTAAATAATTAACTTTAATGCCATTTATTGAGCAATTTCAGGAATATATTTTCTTAGTAATTAATAGAAACTTTGCTAAAAATCAATTCTAAATAAAATATTTGATATTGTTTTGTAGTTTTATTATATATACGTGATTTAGAATTTTTAGATCTTTTTTTCCAAATTTGAAATATTCTTAAGTTGTTATCAAAAAGTAATTACAATAAATTAAAAGAGAATATTTCTTAAATTTAATCGCATAATCATACTATGAACAAGAGTAAAATACTAATTCTTCACTCATATTTGTTTCCTGAACAACTAAATTATTTATCGAGATTGTGCATATTAATAGATTTGAGCGTGTTAAAGTACAGAAGCAAGTACCGCTAATCTGTAGCGTTTATATTTAATTACCATTATTGTCGCGCGTCGCGAGGACACGTCCCGCAGGTGCGTGGAGTGCAACTCAACGCTGCGTATGTATTCAAATATCGACACGTTGTCGGCGGGTAACCGCAGCCAATCGAAACGTGGCGGTTTATGGACGCGCCGCATCACGCGAATAATATTGAATGCATTTTGCGAATGCCTAATGCCGTCGCATAAGCCATCATCGCGCGCGCGTTCAGGAAGACGTTGTCGCGATCCGACGTTTTCACGATCGTCTGATCGATGTATATACTTTAATATTCGTTGAGAGGGCTGACGTTTTCGCGCAGCAAAGTCCTACGAAGCGGGAATGGCCACAAATGCGCGTTAAATATGTAAATAATATTGTAAATAGTTCTTATTACGTTCTCGGCTCGCGTAATGATACATATCCTGTGCCTGTGCTTTTTCCCTTTTCGATTGCCTCGATCAAGAATTTAAATTTCTATCGGCGTAGTTAAAAAATTATCCACCTATCTAAATATCAACGACTTTTATCGATGCTGTTTATCGAGACGAAAGAAATTTACGATATAAAGGAGTTTAATTCTCACATCCGAAGCAAATAAATCTTTTACGAGGACATAATGAAGATTTAGCACTGAGATATTATTTCAAAAATGTCAACCAAATGACAACGTCGAAAATTCGACTTATCGAAAACGGGTTTAAACGCTAATGCAACGGTATCGCGAATCGTGCAACAAGTGCACAGTGGCTCTCTGTTTGAGAAATGTTATATACATATATCACCGCAGAAGGATGTCGCCTTTGGCGCACTCGAATATTGACACATCGTCGATGGGCGCATCGCGAGAAGCATTTCCGTGGCATCGTCGAGTCTCCGGATAACAATGGTATGCGTGGGCGCCAATGACGGAGTAGTTGTTCTTCGAAGGTGTTTAGAAATCGAAGAGGAGATAGGGGGAGAAAGTAACACCGGACGGGCCATTGTCTCACCCGATGTATTGGTGACGAAGCAACTGCGGCAATTCTCGATCTATTGCATAACCAGGAAAAGCGCAGAGAGCGCGCGCATGAAAAAGTACTCGGTTGAGACACACTGTAGTTCCTTAATGCGAGAGAAGCCACTTTCCGAATCATCGGCAGTCGTAATGATAAAATCGTGTTTTTTTTTTTTTTTTTTTTTTTTTTTTAACGAGAACTCTCGAGAAGGTCCCGCTGATTTCTACGCTCGCGTTCCGCGAAAGCGACCGAGTAGTTCTGATAAAATTCGTCACAAATTTGCAGGCTAATGTTTGTCTGCAATAATTTTGCCGATTACATCAAGCAAAGTTTCGGGCGGGCATTATACTTACAAGATTAAATTTTGAATGATTACGATTTAATTCCATTTTTTACATATTTTTTTAAATATAATTTCTTTATTTCGATCTTTTTTTAATTTGAAATATTTTTCGTGTAACACATTGCAAAAAAAATCGAAAGAAATTAATCTCATTGGAAGAATATAAAATCTGCCTCCGAAATATATGCTAAGAATAATTCTGCAGAAATCAAGTTTTAATCCAGGCAAATCGAGATTGAAGAGAGAATGCGTAGACAAGATATATTATATCTATAAATTATATATCTTTAGTATAATTAATAATTATTAAAAACACTCTCTTATGTAAGAAAGGACAAAGTTATAAATGGAGCTGAAAAGAGATAAATTGAAGATAGATAACAAAGAGTTTCATCGAAACTTCGTTCTGTTGCAATCAGTCTCGTAAATTTGTTGACCCACCTCGTAGAATAGATATATCTAGAGATAGAAATGGTCGATACGCAATGGTTCAGCGAGATGCTTTATCGGAATGACGCGGGCCCCAAGAAACTGTCTATCGAGAGAGTGCATCGAGGAGAGAATTAAACGGCGGCACAAACCGCGACGATAGTCTATCAATATAGATCAGTATATAGAGCCGTGATTGCATATTATATCCGCTGCTATCGCCTCTTAACGATCGCGAAATCATTCCGGAGCTCATTGACGAGCACCATTGTCGAGTCCGCTCAACGATTCCGCTCTCGTTTCGCCGCGAGGTTTTCCTTGGCGCTGCTTGAAAGCAGACTGGTTTTTGCGATGAGCGAGAGCGCGCGAGCGGATCTCGTTAAATTCCATCTCGTTCTATCGGCGATCGGCAAGCGAGATCCTCGCGGGATCCAGCTTCGACGCCGACATGCGTGCGCTTGTATATACCCGCCTCGCCGTTTGTATACCCTTCCCGTGTATACCTTCGCAGGTGTGGCTTGCGACAGGATGTGTCAACGCTTGTGGAAGCCGGTCACGTAGGTGCGCGCGCCGCGATTGTGGCCGGTGCATTAACCCTGCGAGGATGTAATGAACAAGACGACCTGTCGAAACCTCTTTCTTTCCTACGGCGATACCTCGCCTTTCGGGTCACGCGAAAGGAATCACGTACGATAAATCTCTCGAGCGGTACCGGAATGTCCTTCGGCCAGCGGAAAACGCACACACGCGTCACGATGAGTCTTTAAGATCTCGCGCGCCTGAAATTTGCTCCATTCCATATATCCGGTCTGATATATTGATGTTACAATAATCAATTGTGAATAAGAGATAGAGAGAGTCCAATCATATATAATATATAATTTAATTATAATAAAGAGAAAAAGAGAGAATATTTAACTATAATGTGTTTGAGAAAGAAAGAAATAAGATTTTTTTTTATCAAGTTTTTTAATGAGAGTATAGTAAATTTTTATAATTTTTGCACGCCCCTAATGTTTTACGCATTGAATTCACAACTT